CTAGTGAAGTTGTTGGGCGTGACATGCATATTATTGAAGTCTAGTGAGGTTGGTAGGTGTGACATACATATTATTGAAGTCTAGTGAGGTTGTTGGGTGTGACATGCGTACTACTGAAGTCTAGTGAGGTTGTTGGGTGTGACATGCGTACTACTGAAGTCTAGTGAGGTTGTTGGGTGTGACATGCATATGATTGAAGTCTAGTGAGGTTATTGGGTGTGACATGCATATTATTGAAGTCTAGTGAGGTTGGTAGGTGTGACATGCATATGATTGAAGTCTAGAGAGGTTGTTGGGTGTGATATGCATATTATTGAAGTCTAGTGAAGTTGTTGGGTGTGACATGCATATTACTGAAGTCTAGTGAGTTTGTTGGGTGTGAGATTCATATTACTGAAGTCTAGTGAGGTTGTTGGGTGTGACATGCATATTATTGAAGTCTAGTGAAGTTGTTTGGTGTGACATGCATATTATTGAAGTCTAGTGAAGTTGTTGTGTGTGACATACCTATTATTGAAGTCTAGAGAGGTTGTTGGGTGTGATATGCATATTTTTAAGTCTAATGAAGTTGTTGGGTGTGACATGCATATTACTGAAGTCTAGTGAAGTTGTTGGGTGTGACATGCTTATTATTGAAGTCTAGTGAAGTTGTTGTGTGTGACATACATATTATTGAAGTCTAGTGAAGTTGTTGTGTGTGACATGCATATTATTGAAGTCTAGTGAAGTTGTTGTGTGTGACATACCTATTATTGAAGTCTAGAAAGGTTGTTGGGTGTGATATACATATTATTGAAGTCTAGTGAAGGTGTTGGGTGTGACATGCATATTACTGAAGTCTAGTCTGTTTCTTGGGTGTGACATACATATTATTGAAGTCTAGAGAGGTTGTTGGGTGTGATATGCATATTTTTAAGTCTAGTGAAGTTGTTGGGTGTGACATTCATATTATTGAAGTCTAGTGAAGTTGTTGGGTGTGACATGCATATTATTGAAGTCTAGTGAAGTTGTTGTGTGTGACATACCTATTATTGAAGTCTAGAGAGGTTGTTGGGTGTGATATGCATATTTTTAAGTCTAGTGAAGTTGTTGGGTGTGACATGCATATTACTAAAGTCTAGTGAAGTTGTTGGGTGTGACATACATATTATTGAAGTCTAGTGAAGTTGTTGTGTGTGACATGCATATTATTGAAGTCTAGTGAAGTTGTTGTGTGTGACATACCTATTATTGAAGTCTAGAAAGGTTGTTGGGTGTGATATACATATTATTGATGTCTAGTGAAGTTGTTGGGTGTGACATGCATATTACTGAAGTCTAGTCTGTTTGTTGGGTGTGACATACATATTATTGAAGTCTAGTGAGTTTGTTGGGTGTGACATAGATGTTATTGAATCCTTGTTAGGTTGTTTGGTGTGACATGTATGTTATTGAAACCTTGTGAGTTTGTTGGGTGTGACATGTATGTTATTGAAACCTTGTGAGGTTGTTTGGTGTGACATGTATGTTATTGAAACCTTGTGAGGTTGTTTGGTGTGACATACACGATGCTGAAGTGTAGTGAGGTTGTCGGATCCAGCGTGCACGTTGTTGAAGTGTAGTGATGTTTCTCGAACGCCACACGCACGTTGGTGTTGACCACTTCCATCTCAACTTGCTTACAGATGTAGCGTTTGCAGTCCTGTGGATATTTGTTTCGAAACCCAGCACTTGACAGGCCCATTTAACCGCAACTAACGAAAACATACTGCACACGCTGGTGCAGAGTACATGGATCAGACACCCCGTGTTCTCTCAGCTGTTTAAGGTAAGGCGCCGACTTTAAAATATTCATGTGCTCTTCAACAAGAACTTCACTTGACGCTCATCAGCCATGACACTGACAAAAATCAAAGATCACTTAATTTATGCAAGTCATATTCATCGTGATTATTCATAATCTTTATTCGTTGCTTGGCACTGAAATACATATGTATAATTTCAAAAGGCAAAATTCTTCCTTTCTTGAAACGTCATGTCCTTAAAAGTTTGTTATGGATAAATATATTTCAGCCATCGCGACTTCCACGGATTCGGCGGCTGATTTTGGCGAAAAGGTGCCTGACACTAAGGTTGTGGGTTCGAATCCCGTATGGGACTCAACCCAACGAAAGTAGTAGAATCTGTATTTTACTAAGAAAGTGTAATCCCAAATATAACACATGTAGCATATACACATTTAAGACGTTCATCAAAACTGACACTCGTCAGTAAAGAACACTCGTCTTTTCGTCACAACAAATACAAGTTATGTCTGTCAAGTCCTCCAGAAAAGACAAGAAATACGTACAAGGAACTCTGCTACGTCATTCTTGAAATGCTTCTTCCTGAATGTGGATTCACCGATATTGTCGGAAGTACATGCTGATTTGGATACCACAACCATAGCAGTCAAGGTTATTAGATAGGAACTAAACTAGCACCAAATGTAAACAAAATGATTGAAGAAGCAGAAAACAATCATTGAATGAGTATCATTATTTAACTGACATTGAATAATATTTCATGAACTAAGTAGCTTTTTTATTTCGATTTCAGGAAAAGCGTCTATACTAAAACAAAACGAAACTTAACGTGTGTTAGTTTGTGCCCCAAACATACCCATATAGAACAAAGTATGTTGCTGGTGAATAAATGGATTTATGGACGTAATGAGCGTACACTAAAACAGGATTAAGCATTAAGGGGTGCTTGGTGCCCCCTCGACTGTCCTTTTCACAGGGACTAGTGTGCCCCAAACATACTCATATAGAACAAAGTATGTTGCTGGTGAATAAATCGATTTATGGACGTAATGAGCGTACACTAAAACAGGAATAAGCATTAAGGTGTGCCATCAAGGGATGGTTCTATCACTTGAGCCAAAATGTTTACAGACGGACCCCCTCCACACACACACACTTTCATTTTCACAGGGACTACCCATCTGTATTGGAGCTCGGTCATTGCTGCCTGTGTCTCTTGCATTCACAACAACAAGGCAACGTTGGCTCATTGACTGCATAGCGATAAATATATGCGAATACGGTTGGTAATGATGCTGTTGTCCCATGTGTGGTTGCCCTGATGCCTAGCAAGCAGGAGGTTACCTACCGGGAAGTGTTTTCACAGGTGAAGGACTTGCGTGATTGTGCTCCTGATTTATTCATGCTTGACTACGAGAGGGCCATTTGGATTGCTGCTGTGGCAGAGTTCCCGGATGATGAGATCAAGGGATGGTTCTATCACTTGAGCCAAAATGTTTACAGACGGACCGAGAGTTCAGGCCTACAAGCAGAATACTCCACATCACCTCAGCTTCAGACCCAATCTCGAATGATTCCCGTCCTTGCATTCATTCCGGAACATGAGGTGGCTGGAGCACCAGCCCGAGGAGCTCCAACCAGTAGTGGATTACTTCGAAGACACGTACATCGTCCACAGAGCAGAGGTCGCCGCCTTCCATTCTTCCCAATCCCATCCTGGAACCAGCACCAGAGAACACTGGATGTCCTAACCAACAATCACCTCGAAGGGTGGCACCGACACCTCTTAACCAACATGTGAGGCTGTTACCCGTCCATCTGGAGGTTCCTGGACGTCCTGAGTCGAGAAGAAGCTCCGAATGACCAGGTGATCACGCAGATGCTGTCCGGGGGGCAATGTCCTAGTTGGCAATTGTGCGGGTGGCAATTGTCCTAGACATGGCTTTACGTACCCTGGAATGAACTACACAACATGTCCACAAACCCAGTAACATACCTGCTCCTTAGTAAGGAAACGATTGTGCAGTTCACATATCTCCTGACAACTGTCTGTATTAATACAAACACTCGAACCCAAAGCTAAACCTTTGGTTCTGCCAAGGAGATTGACCATGATGTGTATAATATCGATGAAGTGAGAATCTGCAGGTGTACCATTTGCTATTCTCTCCACAAGTTCTGTTTCAGCATCGAGGCATGCAATCCCTCAACAAAGTAGCGAGTTTTACGTACTCAAAACACGCTAGACTTTGCACCGTTTGCTCTTAATACGACAAAGTCTGTTAAATTATCAATGCATCTGAATGGAGTAGGACTGGTTGACTGGCTGGCCGGTTTGTTGTTTAGCGACGGACTCTAGTTTAGCAATATTCCTGCTGGACCAGACAATCTAGTGATCAACAGTATGAGCATCAATCAACATAATTAGTATACGATGATACGTGTCAACCAAGTCAGTGAGTCTGACCCTGACCTGATCTTGTTAGTCGCCTTTTACAACATGGGTTGCTGAAGACATGGGTTGCTATCCCGGATCTTCACGGGTAGCATGGTGTAGGGAGGAGGTCCACCCATTATAGTATGCTACAGGTTTGAAGTAGATGGGATAGGGGTGAGATATATTGGAGTTGATGGTCGCAGGGCGTTCCACTGCGTGCTTGTGGGTGTCTTTTTGTACTAGTTCGAACTAATACCGGTGTGATAGTCCTAGTCAACTCAGTCGCAGTTTAATATGCATGGTCAGTTAGGAATACTTATAGTACTGTATCTTAATTCTAAAGGTAACGGTTCCCTAATTTATTTATTTTCCGCGAATGACTTGACAAACAACTATCCAGAGATTGCATTGTAAACTTCAACACGGCTTCAATTCTGGCGTGCCTGTTTCGTCATGTCAGTATTTTCCCCATACGTGGAACTTGATAACCTCCTTGAAGGACAGAATGTACATAAACTGTATGTCGCAGTAAGGGGAGGTGAAGAAGGGATTAACATTACGCTCAGAACATTATTTATATAGCAATGTGCATATACGTGTATGCGTGTGCATACGCGTGTTTTTTTTGGTGAAGGTATATTTGTCTCTGTGTGTATGTTACGCAGGCAAACTGTGATACCTGCACCTGTTCTGTTCACACAGTCTGTGCAACTGGTGACCTGCAACACTGAGTAGGTCGTGATAACACAGTTAATATATATTTGTACCTTGCGTCAGCCAGTCCGTAGCAGTAAACATCGAACCATACCGAGAGGTACACGCTCAAGTCACTCCTACAGACAAGGACATCTCAGAGGATATTGTACAATCCTAACGATGGTCGACTTTAAGTATCTTCCATGCTTGCTGACATGTGCCTCCCTAATCTGTTCTTGTTATGGCCAGGACAGTATGGGATATGTACTGAACAAACTGAAACAGTTTGAAAAGGATCTGCTTGAAAATAAGGTGGGTATACTTCTTACGGAGAAAAGAGTACTTGACACCATAGATGTCACGGGGACATCATTGAGAGCTGAGTTAAAGGAAAACATACGGGATGAAGTGAGAGAAGCCATGGCCGAGATTTTACAAGGGGAGTCTCTTCAAGACATGGTAAAAAGTCAGGTTGTCTCTGAATTGCGGCATCTGAAGCAAGGCTACCATCAGATGAAGAGACAGTTGCACCATGTCTCAAGATTGCTCAGTGATTTCCAGAACGAGACGACCGTATTTCACGACTCTCTCCTGAAGAAGGCAGGTATGTCGGATCGAGAGAATTCGTGTGATATCTGTATGAGAGAGAAGCATCAACTGGAAAAAGTACTACAGACGTGTGACGCTAACACTGCCAATCTCAAATCTCAAATTACGACATTGAAGGAGACGTGTCAGTCACAAATGTCGAAACTGACATCAAATGTCACGGTGTCTCCTTCTACCCCCGCTCCTCTAAATGTTACATCGACCTCCAGGACATCTGTGTCAACAACGACACCCAGACCAGAGGAGGAGAAAAGTAGGATTTTGATTGCTCCAATTTGGTCAAGTACTCCACATCAGTTCCGTCAACTCAACATTCACAGTAACTCCCTGAGTGTCTATCAGTACCACACCCTGAAGCAGGTCAAATGTATTGCATATATAACAAAGACAAGGAAACTTCTGATAGGATTATACAACCCTGATAAGATAGTGTCATCTACCCTGGATACACGTCACGTGACGGTATTAAGAGAAGGTGTAGAGACATTCGGTATGGCAGTGGATGAAGATCGGGACATCGTATTTATATCCACCTATCAACCACGTTACTCAATCAGCCGCATGTCTACACAGGGGAAAGACTTCACTGCCATCATTGACTTATCCAAGTACGGTAGTATTCCAAGGCAAATAGCTCTTGACACAAAGAGAAGGAGGATATATGGGTGTAACACCGGGAAACTGTTCACTGTGACATATGATGGTCAAGGTCTGACAACATTAGCCACAGGAAGCCAAGTGTATGCTGTAACCCTGGACCAGACAGCAGGTGTGTTGTATTATGGTGTACAGAAGAAACTGATGAAGATGACCGTGTCCAATAATGTGAGTACAGAGGTGACCACACTGGACGCCGTCCCCTGGAACATGAGACTGTATAGAGGCACCATCTACTACAGTAGCAATGGTTCTCCTATTGTAGGAGCAGTTGATGTGACATATAACACTGTGGCATATACTCTCCAGTCAGTCAGTGTGAAGGGATCAAGTACCAACGGTATGTGTTTGATTCCCTAAGTGTATCAATCGCATCGTGTTTTCTCTCTATATTCCGATCTCACCCACGGAAAATAGAATGTTTCGTTTCTAATAGGCTTTTAGTTTGGAATGGAGATAGTGTTACTTTCAGTATAGCGGTATTTTACCATTGTATTCAACAATTAAAGTACTGTCGGAAATGCTAGGAAAATGCTTTTTGACTTATATTTAATATTCAGAGGTATTACAGTTACTTAAATAACAAATATCACTTCAAGAAACATCTACCTAATGTAGACAGAGAGAATAAATTTTGAGACATGCCCTAAAATGTGTTTTTACTGATGAAAATACCAAAAACTTAGAAAAATAAGGGGTAGTGGGATGTTATTTGATACAAACATTAATTGTCTGTGTTGCGTCATCAGCATCCACGGTATCGACAGGTGAAATTGACACCTGAGCACACGCTCGGGCGAGGGGTCATCTCAATAGATGTGTTCTGCAAAATGTTGAATATGTGTACGTATAGTATACGTATCGGTTATGTAAGGGATCATTTGTGTATGTGTGTTTGTTTTGAAATAAACATACGAATTACTGTACATTGGAAAGAGTCCAATCACTTGTGTTATTTTATCGATTGATTGTAGAAATGTGCAACGTTTTAATAAATGTTTTGCATGTCAACAGTATATTTCATTGAAAACATATGGATGTAATTCGGTCAGTTTAATCTAGTTGTGAACATTGGCCAAAGATTTAACGAAGTCACTGGTGTAGCTTCTTTAGAATATGTATATTTTTCTTCTCATAAAGTTTGTAGACCGCCCGTCTAAGCACTCCAAAGTTGCCAAGGATGGTTTTACGTCCCGGTTTTGCATTTGAGACGGCCCCTGTCTTGTCTGATTTGTTTACAATATTGTAAACTTGTTGGTAAGACATGCCAACAGCTCTACAAGTTCTGTAATACACCCTTTCTAAACTAATGAAAGGTTTACCTCTGTCTTTTTTAAGCGAAAAAACTAAAAACCTTTGCAACAACCGACTGCAAATCGTTGGCCAGAGTGGACGCTGTGATAAAGATGTGCATGCATGACGGGAAACTTATTTATCAAGACTTAACATTTATAATAATATTTCTTCAATAAAGAAACGATAATTAAGTAAAGTAACACAAACATTGAATATTTATTTGTTTAGGAAAAACGTTAATTCATAGTTTTCCACCACCTGTATTATTAGCATAAATGTAAAGACTATTTCAGATTTCTGTTGTTGAACTCTGAAAATATCTTAAGTTGCTGTTTTGGTACCAAATTCTCTCCTGTAAACTGCCCTTTAAATGCATGGGAATGTTATATCGATTGAAATAAAAATTAGGTAGACAATAGGCGAGTTGATATATTGACAACATAGTACATTTATCACCTTTATAAAGATATTAAGGCTAAAAAGCATTTTTCTAGCATTTCCGACAGTACTTTAGTTATCACCTGATGGAATATCAAACCCGGTGGCAATAGGATTAAACGTACAGCAGTAAACCACTATCGGTGAGGAACATTATTAACAGTCAACACATAGAAAACCATGTCTGTATATTTGTAAGTGTGTGTGCGCATGCGTCTGTATAGGTGTATGTGTCATATTAAAAGCACTGTATGTACAGATTCTTCAGCAGTCTGTTGTTTGTTATGTTTTTAGCAGCAATACTAAACTGGTTCATTCAGACATTACATGAAGTATTTTCATTTACTTCTCGCTGTACACGTAAAGATCTGGATTAGAATTGGCGTTCAGCAATCCACGTTTGTCGTACGAGACAACTAACGGGATCAGGTGATCAGACACGCTGACTTGGTTGATACATGAAAACGTATCCCGATTATGTAGATCGATGCTCATGATGTTGATCACTGGATTTTCTGGTCCAGAGTCGATTGTTTGCAGACCGCCGCCGACATATATCTTGAATATTGTTGATATGGCGATAAACAAACCCAAAAAAGAACAAGCCATAATTATAACGGTGACTTGTGAATAATCGATTCCGGGTCAGACAAACCTGTGATAGATATCACGAGAAATGATTAAAGCCGTCAAGGGTTTCCATGCCATGCATTCAGCCATGTCACTGAGCCTTCCCACTGGATCCACAGTTAGTTCTCGACGCAAATAGCAGCTTTACAATTGCTGGTTGTCGTTAGCAGTCCTCACTCACTCGCTCACTTGTCCCATGAACTTTACAAACGGGACTGTCTTCCTGCATTAAGTAGGGGTGAAACGGTATACCGAGTTAGTTTGCCTTCAATTCGGCATACCGTAATGCAGTCCAAAAATTCGGTATTTTCGGTTTTCGTACCTGTATTTTATTGTGATTTACCTAACCGAAACGGACTGAACCGAAGTACCGCAATCCGTACCGTGCCGTGGTAAGAGCGTACCGTTTCACCCCTAGCATTAAGGCAACGGTTCAGAGCTCCACATTACAACAACACTACAACAACGATGTGGGGACATTTGCTTGGGGCCACATTTTAAACCCATATTATTGCAGCTGATCGATGTAGTAATCTTGTCATTTATCAAATACAGACATATTGTTTGAGTAATATAGGAAATAAGATATCGATTGAATAGACATAAACTTCAGATCATCAGTTTCAAAAGGTCTAAGCCCAACAACCTACCTAGACTTCCGTAACATGCGAGTCACACCCAACAACCTCCCTAGACTTCCGTAACATACAGGTTACACCCAACAACCTCCCTAGACTTCGGTAACATACAGGTTACACCCAACAACCACCCTTGACTTCGGTAACATACAGGTTACACCCAACAACCTCCCTTGACTTCAGTAACATGAAAGTCACAACTAACAACCTCACTGGATATTTAGGAAAATGCATGTCACATCGACACAACCTCACTATAAATATGTAACAGTTAGAGAACACCCACACAACATCAGGGCAACTATCTTATGTTGGGCTGACTCACATAGATGAAGTGGTTCAGTGACATAACTGGTTTTAGCAGGACTGCCAGTTTGGACGAAGTTAGGTCCGCTGTACTCACAGACATGCCACCGTCACCAGGTGGCCACTGTTACAGCAGATATGAGTGTCACGTACTTGTACCCTTCAGTGATATGTCTTAACCTCTGATTCAGCTCCAACACTGTGTAAAACTGACGTCACTTGATAAAAGGGACCACGCTAGACGCCCTGCACCACAATGAGGTAGGTCGATATTGTGATACAAGCTCATCCACAGAGACATAATTTTACACGTACTGCACTAACGAACCCATATGGATAGATAAGAGGCAACTAAATGTATCTGGAGATCAGACTGGCTAAATTGGTTGACGGATGTCTTCGTATCCCAGTAGCGTGGATGAATGCTCAGTAGCTAAATTACATTGTCCAGACTCGATAATTGACCGACAGCCGTTATCCAGGTGGGGTTTTGGTTAGGACAAAGTCAGGATACAAACCAACAAACATCACTAGTGAGTGTCAAGGTAGTGAGGTATGAGCGCCATCTGACGAGCCTGTAAACAGTTGGCCTATGAGTCCTAAAATACCCATGATGTTAGAGTCTCCAGGTGTAACGCGACCCAGTTACGATGGACTTTGTATTCCTCATGTCAAGGTTTTCTCTGATAAGAGCATGAAAACAAGACTGAAGTACGTTTACAGTTAGTAATGGGGATTGAAGGTAGGGGTCAAGATGTGTGCACTTATATCACGAGAAAGCTACGTGTGCGTGTGTACCTTGCACGTTTGTATGCGCGCGACTGCCTCCGTGGTGTAGTGTTTTAGAGCCTCCGCCTGGAGCGAAATAGTCTCAATTACGAAGTTAAACCCCATTTCACCTCACCTCACCTACTCGGGACCACAATTTATACCCACAATAGGACAGCTCTTCAATGTAGTCGGGGCGGTGGGGTAGAATAGTGGTTAAAGCGTTCGCTCGTCACGCCGAAGACCCGGGTTCATTCCCCACATGGGTACAATGTGTGAAGCTCATTTCTGGTGTCCTCCGCTGTGATATTGCTGGAATACTGCTAAAAACTAAATTCACTCACTCACTCACTTAATGTAGTAATCTTCTCAGTTATCATGGTATACATGCCCATCGTCATATGAGCTAACTATTCTCATGTACTACGTCAAGAGGGCAGCTCTTCAATGTAGTAATCTTGTCAGTTATCAAATATAGGCAGATTGTTAGAGAAATATAGGAAATAAGATATATTGACGAAGTTGATTCATGTGTTGAAAAGTGCATTTATTGTTGTGTGTTTCAATCCCTGGAATACTTTAGGGGCAATGGCATATATATGTTGCTGTCTTTAAAGACATATATGATTCTTCGTATATATGTGATTTGGGAATCGTATTTCTATGAAATTTTGTCAAACTACGTGTTTTCCTTTTACTTTGATATTACAAAAACAAGGAATATCCTAAGAATTAAAGCAGTAAAAATCGCATTTTGCAACTAAAACATACTGCGGCGGTGTGAACTGAGACAAGCAGTATGATTGTAACGCTCTAGTTTAGCGTGGGGAGGCCTTGAGATCCTGAAGCTGAGATCCTGAGTCCCGATCCACACAACGTTCGTAGCGCTACGACATCGTAAGCCAATGATAAGCTATACAGTTACGACAGGTCGTACCGATACAAACGCTTTACGGATCAGGGCCTAGATTTTCGAAGCTCTCTTAGCGCTAAGGTCGTCGTAAGTGCCATACATGAACATTAACTTACGACTGTCTTAGCGCTTAGAGAGCTTCGAAAATCTAGGCCCAGGACCCTGATCCTAGTTTGAAGCTGATGCACAGACACGATGTCATAACTATGGAATACTGTAAGGGATATCATCGTGCTACATATATGACTGTAAGAGTTTGGCTTGATGTCAATCAAATTTAACAGGTAAAACATGTGACTCCAAGAAGACTTGAACCAAATTTTCAAGAATTACCAATTTGAGTCGACATGCCTGTCTTCCAGTTCTGCCCCAAAAGTGATTCTATACCAGATATCGAGAGACCAAGGCGCCAAGTTTCTCCCCATT